TCAATCCACTATGATTATGAATTGTATTTTCGAACTTGGTTCCAAAGTCTAACCATTTACACGAATCTCCGTAATAAGTTCCGATTTGCAGACGACGTGGCAACTTCACTGTTTTCGTTTCAACTGGAAGTGCAACATTAGCCGTTTCGTTCTGATGAACTGTTCTAGAAGATTCCGAATTCTTCTTCAAAAATCGTTGCATTCTTCCTCTCCATATAACAGTTTTATCCTGGTATTCTTGACTTAAGGTAACTTCATTTTCAATCTCCTCCGAAGTTACTTTCGTTTCTATTTCTGAATCTAAACTTTTCAGTTCATTGATTTTCTCAATTAACTGTTCATATAAATCCTCGATTATCTCAATTTTCTCATTTAGCGGAATATTATTTGCTAAATTCGATTCGACTTTGGTTATCAGTTTCGTAGTTAATTGTCTAACAACCGATCGTTTCTTTTTCAAATTTTCAAGAACGCCCTCCATTTTCGAAATATTCAGTCTGTCGATTTTCTGGTTCGTAATAATCCCGGTTTGCAGGCACCATAAACAAAATATGTGTAAATCTCTAATAAATCAGACTGGATCGCAGTTAAAGTAATAAACAGAGGAGCGTTCTTCCACACAACATTTATTCACGAACACCAAAGACGAACTGATACATATACATAATTGACATCACAGTTTCTTTTTACAAACAACACTACCGCCATCTATTGGCGATCTATGGATACACAATCCTAAACTTAACATCTTGAAGCCGTTCATGTACATTTACGAATTCGAACAATAAAGAACTAGCGGGCTTTGAATCGACACTTGATTAAAAAAAAAAAAATCCCATAAATAGCGGGTAGCTCATTGACTGGCAGACATATAATTCAGTTACCTAAACTGAAAGTTTTCTTAAATGATTTGAAAAGCAATGTGGAAACAGTTAAATTTTCTTGTAAATAAATAAAAACTACATGTTTCATTCAGTTGCGGTATAGCCTAACAAATCGGAAAAAAAAAAAAAAAAAAAAAGAAGTTTTCATTTAGTTTATTGAGGCATTATTCAGCATTATCTTTCTCTTCAAAGCTCGATAGTCTCGTTGCCTCGAGCAAATTATTTCCGGTAAAAATCAATATTGTCTAAATTAATTTAATTAATTTGATTAACAGAACTCTCGATTTTCTGGCTGTGCTGATGTTGTTTTGTGATACGTTAACAACCTTTGCTTAAACTTCAGACACCATTCCAATTTTACCCTCACATTTTGTCGGTTTAGTTTCATTGATATGTATTTCTTTTCTTTTGTGTTATATGCTTATTATTATTATTTTTGCTATCTGAATATTCGAGAATAAAATAGTCTTATTCTAAAACTTTTCTTCCATTTTTCCCCCTTTGTTACAGGGTTTGCTGTTTATCTTTTCTTCTGAGAAGGTTGTTTTCCACTAATACCCTTTAAATACATGCAAGAGCTTATCTCATTTTAAGTGACGAAATAATGTACGATGGGAGGGTATCATGGTGTAAGGTTTATCCTAAGTTTTTACCAGTTATTTTTAAGTTAAAGCTCCTTTCCTATCCATCCTAATTTCAGCTTACAATTTCCTACCATAATGTGTTTTTACAATCGCGTTTAATGCAAATGAGTAAGAGTAGTATTTTACGTCGAAGTTCCACTGACTTCTAGCGAGAGCATCAGAGTTTCTGACTAGCGTGCGTTTGCTTTTTGGCCACGTCTCTCTAAGCTGTTACTACGCTCCGGCCGTATTACCGGCCTTTGGATAGCTTCGCCAACTATTTCGTTATTTAGGGACCAACTAGTTAGATTTGTGGTATCTTCGGCTATATGTCTTTAGTTGAGCACTAGTTAAGGTCTTATTTTTACACTTTTGAGTTTAAGCCCAAGTGGAGGCTTTGCTGTACGCCCTGAGAAAGGGGCCGAATGTTATTCTTTATTTTGAGCAATAAAAGGGTAATTAACTCTACTGAGCTTTACGTTTCTGTTACTGAACTTAAGCGATTATTCGCTTAGCTGTTCACTAGGTTCCTCCACACTTAAGTTGTTAGATAAAGGGAGGAAAGCCACAATGGTTTGAGGAAAAAACGTAATTTCGTATTGCAAATTGCTAAATTTTTCTTATTTAGAATCCGTATTTTCTACTCAAATTACATGAATTCCTAAGATTTAACTACGACTAAAATGCGTTTGCGCGGGAACTGTATAATCTCCATTGAACGTTTTCTAAACATTTTTCTGTTTATTTTTTCCTTAGGATTGCGCTTCACGATTTGACAGAAAGCTATCTGCGAGGAGTTTGTGCTTTTCTTTTGCGTGTGTGTATCTCGAATGACAGGTTAGTTATTTTGAAACTCAGCATGCTGGCTGAAGCAACTGCCTTTTACTTTTATTTTGTTGAGAAACAGACTTGTTTGAGATCTTTATTTGTTACAAATTTTTGTTGATTGGAGCAAAACAGGTAATTTTCTTTAACTTTGAAATGCTCATGTAAGAACTCTTTGCAAACTTTTTTATGACCGTGTTAGTTAAATTTTATTTCTTCAGCGTAAATTTCGAACACATTTTCAGCGTAAATTTCAAACACAAAAGAATAAAATAATCAGTCTTGGAGTTCCACTCCGAGCGAACGGGCTAGCTGGATGGGCGTTTTCATTGTTTTTCCCATTTGTAATGTGAATAAGAGCCAGATTTTACTAAAAAGACCTTCACAGGGCATCCCTCCGCGGAGTGTCTAATGGAGGAGCGCGTAATAATAAATAAATAAAATAAGTATCGAAAGAAATTTTTGTAAGATTGAGATCGACAACTTTCGATGGAATTTACTTTTTTTTTAAATGGAAAAGAGAGATATATTAAATAATGACTTGATTTTTAATTTTCCCTTTTGCAGTGAAGACCTGATAGACAGATTTCTTGAATCATAAAAAATTTAACTTTGCAATATATATATATATAATTTAGTCCTAGCTATATTTTTTTGAAATTTTCACACTATTTCTTAACAAGTTATTAAGAAGCAGTTTAAAGCAAGCAAGACTCCCGTGTGGATATTTTCATTAATACTTTCTAATTTAGTGTTTTAAATTTGCGAAAGTATTATTGGAAACAGAACGCTTTTCATTCTTGTCTAAGAGCTTTGAAAAATGTATCTGCTAAATGTTACTAATAATGTAACATGCCAAAAACAGATAACATTTCATCACACTCAGAATAATCAAGTTTATTTTTAAATATTATTAAAATAAGAAAATTGCATTAATATTTGGAGGTTATGATAAAGTGTTAAGATTACAGCATTCGATGTATGTCATTTATGGGGAAATAAAGATATAGATTTTACAAGTATATCTTTACATTTCATAATCAAAATAAGTAGTTTGTCATGTTGTAAGCTAAGGATTTGCGTATTTACTTATTTCTTGGTCATCGTAAATTTTAATAAAGCTAGCTATCAGCTTAGGTATGGTTGTTACATTTTTACCCTTTTATATTTTCTTCACGATTAACCATAAATTCTGTAAAAGGCTCCTGTCTGGGCTACTGGTTGGCTGTGGAAGAATTTCAATCTTATTTTCATGGAAAACATTTATCAGTCTTCAGGTCCGGTGAATCATGCATACGAGTAAAATATCTCGTTTTATTCACGGTCAAAACAGAGGTGCTTTAGTATTGTTCATCCAAAGCTAAAAATAATGAAATCATGTTCGTGATGGTCATTGGAATAAATTAAGATTTTAATAAAAAAACTATTCAAATTTATCTATAACTTCAAACAGATTAATTTCGCAATCACTTAATATGAAGGAACTGAAATAGAATATACCAAAAAAATATTTATTTCAAACTACTTCAACATTCTTGCTAAAATACATTAAAATATGCTGACACCATAAATTAAGTTATTTACTTAATATCGTTTTATAAATTTAAGCATAAATTTATTAAAATGTTAATGTTATATAGCTGAATTTTACCATATTGAGATAAAATTCGGCTCCCCGCTCATCATTTTCAAATAGCTTTAACTGGACTTCGATATACAAAAATATTCTAAAATCAGTATTCTTATTATGAAAATGCAATTAAATGGTTTTTGTAGTCAGTTTTCTGTTATCTGCCGTCTAAAGGAAATCGATGACAGATATGATAGAAACAAAACTGGAGTTTGCATTAACTGTGCAGATTTATTTCAGGATAGGATAACTGCTGTAAGTGAAATAGTAGAAAATATTTAGTAAAAGAACGGAAATCATTGCTATATTTAAAGCATATTGATCATATGCGCTAAAATGATATCTTGTATATTTAAGATTTTCTGTATTTTATCTCATCAATTGTTTTTAAATTTTAAAATTTGTATGTGATTTGCACTCCCATCTGTAATGTATTTTCTTTTGTAATGTCCTTTTTGGGATTTCAATTTCTTTCATTGAGAGTTTAACTGCTACATGGAAAGTAAATTTGAAAATTTTAAGAAATACTTTCAGTTAGCGAGAGGTTTACTTGAAGTGGTGATATGTAAGAGGTTTTAAGCTTTCAAGTTTTATAGTTAATGGCTTTAATGATAGTTAAATTAAAAAACGTATTTCAAGAAATAAAGTGCATACATATAACAATACTAATAAAGACTTTTTTAATAGCATTGTTTCTCTTTCTTATGTTTTGTGTTTTGGGTATCGTAAAATTGATATAATTTATATATTTCTCTCAATGATTTTTAAAACAAGTACTTAATAATAATAGTGTGCTTACATAATGTTGAATGCTTTTTTGCACATGGATACGAGTTTATTTACTTCACTTTTTATTCTATAACCATCAAGTAACATGATAAACAACTAGATCCACACAAGATCGTATTGTAATTTTTTAGTGATTTTACCTATTTCATGAAAATGTTGCAATACAGCAACATTTTAATCTGAATTTGCTTATATAAACTACATATTGAATACAAGTTGAAAATAATATGAATTAAAAATTCTACTTACATAAACATTCTTCTTCCCCGCTGACAAATGCACAATGAGTCAGGATACCTGTAAAACACAAAAATAAGTTTCAAACTACTTAAATATAAATAGTGAATTAATTTTGAAAGATCAACTTCCTTTGCTAATTAAAAACGGGATTCATCATATAATGACAAAACCCCTCTGCGTCTCGACAATGACACAAATCATCAAGTTACGCGGTTTCCCCCTCCCCCGATAGAAAAGGATGTAAAGTTTATGTTTATTAATCCATTACCTATTATTTCTACTTTCTATTTCTACTTTATTACCTATTATTCTCACCAGCATGCTAATTAGTTAACGTTTTGTATATTAGAACTTCTTGACGTTGAGGTGTAAACTTTTGGTAGCGACGTTGACCTTGATGCTGCTTCTCACTCAGCTCTTAGTGATACACAAATCAGTTTTATACGTTTTCTAGCCGTGCTGCTTGTGTAATTAGAAGCCTGAGCCGAAGCTTATGACTCGCTGATGGCGATGGCTTGTTTTGTGAATTCCCAGCATTACTTGCTATAAATTTTACTTTCATGATTTTGTTAGTTAAATCCCACAAGTAGCAGTGACTGATTATTTGTAGGGATTTATATTTATTTTAACTAACAAGTTAAGTTTAATTTTAATCTTTTCTATAAGCCTTCATTCCCCTAATTGTCAATGCCAGAATATTTAAATTTGGTAGCGCGCGTGAAGTAATGCAAATTCTACCTTGAGGAGAAAAGGTTTAAATACTGAGTTCTAGAAGGGAGAAGGTATTTCTCCCGCCTTCTTAGCATGCCTTTGTAGTAAAGTGGTCAGCACAAAAATTTGCCTCTCAGAATAGAGACCTAGTGTTCTAGGTCGTAAAACAAAATATTACAATTTTCAACGAGAATGGGAAAACGTATAATAAAATTGAGGTTCTGTAATTTACCTCTGGTACAGAAACATATCAGTTGCAATTTTGTTTTCTTAGCTAAATGGCATTGCATTAATTTTAAGTTTCATTCTCGAAAATTGGTGCTCCATCTGCATTTAGCTTCAAGGGGCTAGATAACATGCGGACGATGTAAAAAAGGAACTCTCAAGCACGTTCAAGTACACGTAGTATAGGAAGTCATTCACAAAACCACCTCTGCCAACCATCAATGGCGAAGAAGAAACGAATACTGGCTCATTGCCAAACCTGAAGAATGTTGTTCACGCGATGAATCATAAACAGATCGGCTGTAGCTATTTGACCACAAGGTACTACATCAAAATTTTGCTTTTTCTGGATCGTGTCGAGACTCACAGAATTTATATTAAAACAAATGGTAACTGCAGGGATATTCCGCCTTCTTGAATGATATTTTAACTTCTAGCAGGTTTTATTATTCATGCAAATGAAATTAAATAACATAAAATTAAACAACAAAAATATATTACATATCGATTACACGTTGAATTCCCTCGTGCTGCAGTGTTTAGTCATGTTAAAGTGAAATGATACACATAACTCGGCAGTTCGTCGCTAACTCAATTCGAATGAGGAAGACAAATTTTCTATACATAAGAAACATACCTGTTAGGTTATTTATTTCAGTAAACGAAGAAGGATCTAGAATGACGAACTTTAGATATTTAATTTAACGGTGCTCAGCAGGTAATGTTAGGCCCACCAGAGGCCGAGCGGTAAAAGCCGCTGAACACAAGTAGTTTACATTCCGTGGTTCTAGCTCGGTCCGGGGTTCGAGTGCCGGCAAACGGGGTGGCTGTATGGGCATTTTCGTAGTTTTTCCCATGTGTAATGTGGATATGAGCCAGTTTCCCTTAAAAAGACCTCCACAGGGCATCCCTCCCTTTCCGTGTAGTGCCTAAAGAGGAAGCGTTGAGTAAACAATAGCAGACAATGTTCACACATATATCTTTCTACAGAAAAAATTTCGGCGCGTTTTCTCAATAACGGTGAAGATCAGCGTTATTTTTTATACAAATTAAGAATGAAAACTGAGGTGCCAGGAAAAATTAAGAACAATGGCTGGTAAAATAAATTAGGTACAGTACTAGAGCAAATTTAGGCAGAAAAGTAGCGCAAAATTACAGCCTCTTGCAGAGAAAAAGTATTTTTACATTTGTTAGGGGAAATCATAAAGCATTTATTTTCTCAGCCAACGAGCCTAAAAAACTATGTATTTTAATAAAGGCTTAGTGGAATTCACTACCTTTGCAAAGGACATGCATACTTTAGGTACAAGTGGAGGCTTAAAATTCGTTGTAGGTATCTTATAAAGTAAATAAATTTAAATATAAAGTTTTCCTGCGCAATGCTACAAAAGGAAAGAATTATCACTTCTTTCTGCTAGCTGTAAAATTTCGCGATGTGTCAGCTATGATTCTAATAGTGAATGTAATTCTGAACTAAAGGCTGAATAAAAAAAAATCTAAGAAGATGTATCAAAATGTTTTTCTATTCTAAATGAGACTATGACTCACCAACGGTTAAGCGGTGAAATGGCTGAAGTCTTGTACTTCGACTCGAGTTCAGATCTCGGCCTCGAGATTGAAATGTCAGAGATTTGAAACTGCATGAGAGTTTTTGTGGTTTTTCTTATGTATAGCAAGAAGACAAACCTATTTTTCCACGAAGGTATTCCTACCCTTAGACAGAAAGCCCTTGTGTACTTTGCCGTATTCAAATAACCTAACCTAACTTAAACTACGCTCTGAAGATCACATTACGAAGATATATCCGACGATCCATTAGCAGGATTACGTAGTAAGTAAAACAGAAAAATCAAAAGGAATGTTTAACATTAGAAAATAAGTTTAAATTCAGGGTTTTATTACTAAAATTGGAAGTGCCGAAATACTATGGAAGGCCATCAGGCACGATCAATGTAAATAAATAAGGTAATAATAAGTAACACATTTAATAATGAATAATTAAAATTAATAATATAAAGAGAAATAAATAAAAAATTTAAAAAATTAAATTAATGATCAATACATAAAAGTAAATATATCCTAAAAATTAATTGGCATAATAAAACAAGTGGAAGGTGAGTAAATAAATGATAGTAGGACATGATAGTAAATATACAATAAAAGTAAATATTTTCAGTAGCGAAACTATTTCGCCATCAAATAAAATATCTGTTTAACTTCGTCTTTTAATTCCTTTTAAGCCACCTGGAGAGGATGGGTAAAGCCCATAAATATTCCATTTAATGGCTGGATCATTCTCAAATTTTTTTCCAGCTGCTCAAAATTTTCTGCATATTTTTTGTTCTTCTAAAGGAAAACGAGGAACATATACAATAGTTGGCATCAGTACTAGCCTTAGTAGCTGTTAAAAGAAATTTCGTATGAAAAGCAGAATTTTCTGCTGATACTGCGATTCAGTTTTATAACAATGTAAGCAGAGATCATTTGATTTGCAGCTGCGGTGCGCAATGGCAGGAATTCCGATTTTCCTTTGAATTTTTTATCTTTTCCAGTGACGGACCTACAGCCGACTTCGGCTTGGCCACTACTAAGCCCAGAAGTAGTGGTCACTTTATTATGGAGGAACATAAATAGGTGGGCCACCTTTGCCTCCTATGAAGAGACGGACAGTTAACAGCCATGTCTTCTCCGAGATTCGAATCCGGGTCCTTTGGTATAGCAGTCGGCTACCCTAACCACTATACCGTCTAGGCGGCTTTTTTGAAAAATAAGTATTGATGTCGGGCTGCGTGGATTCCAATCGCATTTAAGCACTGATTTAAAGCAAGAATCATTAAATTTTTATTAATAGCTATATAAAATACGCTTTTCATTTAATGGAATTTTGAACTCCATTAAATGGTATGGTATTATTTTTATTACGAATGGGTATTATTTTTATTTAAAAATAGGAGCGAATTCTTGCCAGTTTGTAATTCTAGCAAAGTTCGGAAACAGCCATAGGTTGGGGGGATAATGGATTAGGATGATGTATGATAAAGCATTTGTTTTATTATTAATGATTATTAATAATCATATAAATCTTTTATGATTATTAATCATCATATCCTATTTTTTGTTCCCCAAGTAAAAATAAATTTTGTAAGCAAAGTAATACTTTAAAGTAGAAAAGTGGAGTAATAGAAATTAATTAAAACTTATCAATGTGCTGAAGATGTTATTTTATGCCGGGGCCAGTTTTAAAATGCATGGTAATGATTCTAAATACATTAAACTTTTGTTCAACATAACTGATTTAGTTTGTTAACTAATTCATTAATATTCGACGAATGGATGCCCCATAATTCACTGTAGATAAATTAAGATTGCAAAGGAAAAGCATGTACACTATCAAAATATTACCAAGTTTCGCTCTAAAAGTTTAATCTAACCCCATACAATCTCTTACGACTGATTTCTTCTCGAAGCTATGGTATTTCCATGTTAGCCACAAGAAGAAACCTTGATCAGTTTCACTGTTCGATACATCTTTAATATTAGACTATTTGATTTAAACAAAGCACACGAATGCTATCATGCCGGGTGTCCCTTTCCCAACGGATGGAGCCCGAGAGTTTCGTATCCTCGTTCCCTTCCCACCAATCGCTAGAGAAGATAAGGTTTTAAACGTAGATGCTGAAGATGTCATACAGAATCCTCTTAAAGAGAGAATAAAAAATAGAACTTTGGCCTTGAATTTTTAGTTTTTGAATCTTAATAATATTAATACTTTTAGAAGTCAAAACAAAAAATCAGCGTTATATTTGTTGTTTGACTTCTAAATTAATATTTGTTTGGCGTGTTACTGTATCTTAATATTAACACTTCTCTATAATTTTCCATTATATGTAACACTGAGTAATTTTACAGTATCAGCATAGATTAGGCTAGTTCCTTCATCCTTTCTTTTATATTTTCCTTTCTCTGCAGTATTACATAAAATCCAATAGTTTAATTATTTTATAACTCTTTTATCACATTTGGATTACCTTAGCCTCAGCAGTAGAAGAACGACGCTCATTTGTAAAATCTTTTGGGCAACATCTAACACCTTTCCTTGTAAAGTTTCAAATGATAGGATGTGCTAGCTTTCCGTATTTGTTCCAGTGTGATAATAATGGTGATATTGTATAAATCGTGTGTACACAATTAAAAAAAATGTTTTAATGCATTTTTCACATATTTCAAGAAAAGTTAATTATTAAAATATCTAAATATTTTACAATTAATACGAAGCTTATTGAAAATTTAGTGACCTAAAATGAAATTTAAACATTTTAACCTCTTTCATTCTTGTCGCGGACTATAGTCAGCATTCATGACCCTATACAGAGCGTCAGTATCTATGGTGACATTTATACATGATACTTATAGTCAGCATATAAATGCCGAGTATTTAATGAACCATCGACACTAATGTCAACTTTAATTGGCATCTATGCAAGGAATGGATATTAATTGTGCAGTTCCTAAAATGAGAGCCGTGATTGCAAATTTTATCACTTACCAAGAATATGATTCATTTTCCATCTTCCCCAGTGTACCAAATAAATCACAATAATTAAAAATAAATAACATATACCAACAAACAGTTCATGTAGATACAGAAGCACTCAATCATTATTTTTTTGCATGTTGCCGTAATGAAAGACAAAAACGTTCCAGATTTGCCGTGTACCAATAAAAATGAATGCCTAAAATTCTGCAGTATAGCCGAAGGAGATAAGAACCTCCGATGCACCACTATCTAATTATGCATGTCATGAAATCTCACTTGATGATATCTTCTCGAGGAAACTTTATGCCTTTTATAAACTGGCAAGGTAAGAAAGAAGAAAGGTTAGCTAAGATGGCGAAATATGCTAAGAATATTTCTTAACTTTCACATATTCCTAAAATTTACCTTAAAATGTGTAAAGTTCGTCATAAATAAAGGATAATATTTAATAAAATTCTCATTTTATAATGTTTTAAACAAGTGTTCAACGTTGTAATTATTTATTGTTCCTGCATCTGAATGAAAAACTCGACTTCTGCGCCTAGATTAAATATGCAAATTAGGGAATTGACAGTGTTGTCCGATAATCGAATGTTGAAATTCGGATGTGTTCTGCTATCTGAATTTAATACGGTTTCTGAGCGTGATCATGTGATC